CCCCAAAACCCCAAAACCCCAAAACCCCTCCATTAATAATTTGGATTATGTTTTAATTTTAGGAAATTAAGTATTATTTTTAAATTCCCTTTTAAAACTATTTATATATTTTCACTTCTATGTAGTTGCTGTAAAGTGTCAATTTTATCATTCTAATTAGTTTCCCTCCGTCTAATCTTCAGAGAGCTCTAAATCAAGCAGATCAACATCTGCATTAAACTTCTTTGTATTATATTTTATTTGATCTCTATGCCACATATCCATGCTTTGTTCTGTATGCTCATACAAGTACATATTTAGCTGGCCTTCATACCACTGTAGTTTAAGAGCTCTGTAATAGTCTCTCTCTCCTCTGGACCTCCTTAAAGAGCATACATCGACATCATCATATGTTTGATCCTTTTCAATCTCATTTTTTTATTCTTCCTCCTCAGGTGTTACTAGAGTGTCAAACTATGGCCAGACAGGCACCCAGTTCTCTCTGGAGTTGAACCTCGGTCTAAAACTTACTTTTTGGTATTTTCGCTACACCCACTTATCTAGTTTATTTTAGCTCATTCCTATTTCATAATACTTAAGAAAGTTTTTATCAAAAAATTCGTCGTTTTTGCATGGATACAGGTCTTCCATATCGATATTAATGAAAAAATTCCAGTTGCATATAATTTTTGAAGCCTAATTGGTCTTTCGATTGAATGTATTTCTTTTTTAACTCTGCAAATTTAACATAATTTCGTCAATTTTATATATACTTGGGCATAGAGACTCATCATACTTTGATTCTTAAAGAAATTCATTGTATTTATCACGATAGTATTCGTAAGTTGCCTTTAGCATGAAGTCGTAAAGCAGTTTTTTTCTTATCAATTTTCTTTTAAGCATAAATGAGTTTGCATGCTACTGTACTTTTGAATAGTTAAAAGAAGATTTAATTTGATAGCAATTCATCTTTAAAGAACGCCACATTCTTTCAACATATAGAGAGTTGTTAAAAGGAAATTTCTCATGCACCATTCTGAATGAGTGATTAGTCCAAAAGTGATAAAATCCATACTAAGTTAGTTTTGATCTAGCTGCTGGAAGATTGCAATAAGACATATGAGAATCCGAAAATATTATTCCACCTTTGGGTATGTGCTTTTTCATGCATTCAACCAAGGTTTCATGAGTCTTATCCTTTATGCAATATATGACAGCTAGCTTTGTACTTCGACAATACATTCCAAACACCCAACGAACAACTATAGTTCCACCAGCGACCTTATATTTTTTATTTTGAGTTTTAGACTCGTCAATTTCAATGGGTCCAGGTAATATCAAATATGGCAAAATTTTACTGTCTACATAGTGACTTGCAACTTTTCTAAATACGTTGAAATATTCTGGCGAAGAGTGTCCAATTACACTCGACGATGTTGTCATTAACTTAGCAGTACTTATGGACTTAGCATTCATAATCCAGCACTCTAAAGCAATATCAAATCTTCTTAGATTAAGTGTGCAAAGTGGTGTCGAGTAATTTACTGGTATATGTCTGAAGCAAAATGTACATTTCCAAATGTGCTTGTAGTTAGTCTCCTCCTCATAGTAAAGACTCATTGGGTAAAAGCATTATCTGCATGTTCGGTTGCAATGAAGAAGCCCGTGACGAGCCATATTATACAGCACTTGTATAATAGGCTTACACATTTATGACTGCATCTTACTAAAGTATATTAAGAAGATTCAATAGAATTTAATAAGTAAAGTGATTTTAACTAGGGCAAGTTTTGAAAAGTGAGGGTTTTACAACTTTCCTAAAAATGAACGAGAATGCTTTGATGCACACCTTTACCTATAAATATCCCTTAGATTTCAATGATTTTTACTATATAAACAAAATCCTATGGTATATAATCTACTGTAACTATAAATTTTTAAAAACTTCAATGTTGAGTTTATAATCTTAATTTGTAATTAATCCAATATTAGACTATTTATTGAATAAATTTAAAAAAAATTAGTTATTTTTATTAAAACTCAATAATGGTTAAACTTTCCTCTGAAGCAAGTTGTGAGTCTGTCTACTTTTAATGATCCAATACCATCTAATTCCATAAATCTTGAATAATCATCAGCTAATATTACATTCTAGACAGTCTAAAACTAAGATTTAATATAATTAGTTCTTACTCCATATCTTTTCAGCAATCTGTTGACATCATTTTTATTCAATCCTCTAATTGAAACCAATGCTTCAAAGGCCATTTAAGCTTAAGTTAGTCTTTTAGTGTTTTCTTTTAGAAATTTTTAGTCCTTTTTGTAATACTACTTCAACACGTTTAAGTAATTACCTACTTCATCAAATCTATTAAATATTTATAAAATCTAATAATAATTGTACCCCCACGTGCATATTAAAGTAGTATTGTACTAAAATGAGAGCAGACTTATTTTGGTGATGAAGCTTTCATAGTTTTCCCTTAAATCATCTATAAGTAGTAAAAGTACGATCTGCTGATTCTTCTCAATTGTATTGTAATAATTTCTGAGCTCACTTAACCTCCATTTTAGATATAAAGGATACTCAATGTGATATGACAAACTATATAAAATTGGATAATCAGAATAACCTTACGCTAGAAAAACAACTGATAGCTACTGACAGTTCAAAAGAAAATCCTCTTTGGTGACATTGGTGAATTGATACTTGAAATTGACGTATTTTAAGGCAGGATTTAGTTTTTACCTCTCATTGACCCAGACTAGAAATCCCTGCTCTACTGATTTTTCATAGTAATTTTTATTCTATTTAGCCAAGTTTTGAATTGAGCTTGTTGAATTGTTATGTGTGCTCGCAGTTGATTAGTAATAATTGAGTTTAAGTTCTTCTGGGTCTATATCACCCTTAGCCTCAACATTTCTATTCTGAGTGTTATACTAGTGAGTTTAATAGTTCCTATCTATTCAGTGTTATTTATAGCATTTCATAATATCTTACCTTCATTATCTTCAAACTAGTTATACTGATTTTAATGCTTGTATGGTCTTGCTGAAAACGATCAATGTTCCTTCCCAAAGAACTTTTTGTCTTAATATTCCTTTGGGAATTTATTGGGATACATCTTATTTGCACTTTCATACCTCGGTTTTTATTAAGGAAATTCAGGTCTTGGCCTAGGAGGGAATGGCTTATTAAAGTTGTTTGGAGGAGGAAAGTTAGTGATAAGCTTTTACTACGCTACTACTTTCTAATTTTTTGAATGATTGATAGCAGGCACAAAGTTATAGTTATGGAAGTTCATTCAGAAAGTAAGCTTTAAGTAATAGGTAGAATTGTTAAATATTTAATTATGTCTATTAAATTTATTATTTATAAATTAACAAAATTATCAATTTTAATTTCATTCTATCAGTATTTTATTGACTGATAAGAACCCCTATTAATTCATACATAAAATATATGTATATTTATCCCGGTTATTCTGAAAATCAATAGCCCCTATGAACTTGCCATCTTCTAGAGGACTATGTCCGTTATAGCCCTGCTACATTACATCCTTGATGACTATCTGATTTTATCCATTTCTATCAATTTAGCTTTGTAAAATAACCGGCATAATATGAATGTCAAATTATTTAGGAATGCCGAACGATTCCTCATTGATCAATCTAATAGATTTAATAACTTGCTGAGTATTATAATCTACTAGTGCTGCTTCTTTGTCCGATATGACAATCATTCTGGAATCATCTATGAATTAGTAATCTTTTATTAATCCACAGCTGTAAATTTTAGTTCTGGCAGATTACGAAAACTACTTGTAATTCAATTACAATTTAAAAATTGTGCCTCTTTTATATGAAAGAAATAGGCATGATGGATCATTGATGAAAGGACTTCTCTTAATCATATAAACTGATGCTAACTTTCCTGAGCCTCCATAATTGAATGGTATTCCAGAGCAGACTTTCTGATATTAACTACCATCCCATTTGACCTAAACTAATTTTGCATAGCGATCTGCAGATAACAAAAGTTGTTGATCATCCATTATAAAAGCATCCTGATAAACTTCTTCAAAATTTTGAATTAGATTCTGTGACTTTAAATCAACTACCATATTATCATAGATCAATCGATCTTATTAGCATACAATATACTAAGGGTTGCACTATATTGCACAGACTCTAGAAGTTTTGACCTCATTATGACTTAATGTAAATTTCAGAATGTCTATAATGTCCTAATCTTTTACTTTGAGAGCAATTATTTGTTCCTCTAACTTCCTAAAAATAGACTCGTATTGAACTTATTCTATTTAAAGATTGAATGGCTCTACAATAATACTGAGTTCAGACTAAAATTAAAGTTTTTGGATTTTCATGTCTATTAGAGGATTCAAAAGGCCAGACATTTAAACTATCTAACTCTCCATTTATTCAAATTATTATAGCTATTGAGTAGCATATATTTTAACCTCGTTCAATACTGATTGATATGTAGGATCAGCCTATTCATTTTTTAGAGAGAGCTTTTATAGCTTTTATTCAAGAGCCCTTATAATCTTAGATGAGGTTGTTTAAATATTATCAGCAACATCCTTTACCTTTGGTAATACTTTCTCAGACTTTTATAGCATTGCTTAAGAAGCCTTAATAGTGTTTTAAGCTTTTATTACTAGTTGCTATGTAAAGTCTAAATTTAGATTTAAAGATTATTGAAAGATTGGTTAATCTTGTTTTTATGTATTGTTTATTTACTGAGAAACAGCGGCTGGAGTAGATGCTTGGATTAAATTATTTGAAACATTCAATTCAGATTTAACTTTTTTTTCCTTTTTGAGAGGCTTAGCCTTTGGCTAGGCGATTGGTTAAATCTTTTAAAGTGCGGGAGTCTTTAGTTTACCTTAATTGCTTTTCTTTATATTTTAAAGAAATTGTGAAGGTGAGATTGTTTACTAATTAGATTTAATCTGTGGTGGTACTAATATTTTATTTTATTGAGGGGGGTGCAGGACATTATTTTGAAACTCATTTTTAATAAATAAATTTGATGGCTCTTATTATGTATCTGTTTGCCTGGAGAGAACCAAACTCTCTTCATTTGATCTGTGTTTTTCTTCTGTTTCTTTTTTTATTTAGTTAATCCTTTCGATATATTACTTCCATATCAACTATTCTGTAATGCCTGGGTTTTCCATTGCTTAAATAACTAAATTTTTATAAATATTTAATGAGCATAACATCACTTTTAACTTTTAAAGATATAATTCGAATATTCATTTTAATACCCTAATTAATATATAATTCTAATAATATGGGGTTTTGGGGTTTTGGGG